CACACACACACACACACACACATTGATAAATATATTCTTTTCAAACACATTTGGAAAAACCAGCGACCTGTAGAGAAGCTTTTGCCAGCTTCCAAGAGAGCAATTGAAGCAACCACCAATGAGAGAGCAGCATGCTGTTGACATGTGACTTGGTAGCGAGTAGCCGTCAGGTACAAAGTGACGGACAGCGCCGACCCAGCACGGCATTAAATATTCATTACATCGATTTGTATAAATCACCTGATTGTTGAATGTTGGGCTTTACCTTCGGTGCAGCGTGAAGTGCTCTGCAGTATGAGGTAAAGATCCAACCGTGCTCAGCACGCCGGCGCTGAAACTGAATCTAAATGAAACACAGCTTCACGCTGACCGTCAAACCTGACAGAAGCTGATGTCAACGTTTTGTTTCGAAGGTGCAAACGCGATGAAAAAAGCTCACGTCTGCAGCCTCTCTCTGCAGGTAGACCGTTTTGGTTTTCAAAATAAAAGCAGTGACTTCAGACTGTAAATCTTTGCTTCAAAGCGAGGCCCAGACTCGCCGTGATGTACGTGCGCGCCCACACGCGCTCAGCCGTCACCGCATTGATCCAAAACACAAAGAGGCGAATCATGAGTCACTGCTCCGACTAAAATAGAGCTCGGAGCTGTGGTTAAAGGGCCGTCACGCTCTCCGCAGCCATCGATCAGCTGCTGATTAACACCCACGCCTCCCTCTGACAGGAACTCCTTCACTGACATCCTGCGGGCCATCCTGCTCTCTCTGGAGGTCCTGATAGAAAACCCGGAGCTCCAGATCAACGGCTTCATCCTCATCATCGACTGGAGCAACTTCTCCTTCAAACAGGCGTCCAAGCTCACGCCCAACATCCTCAAACTGGCCATAGAAGGCCTCCAGGTAGCCCCGCCCCCCATCCTCTTCTCTGTCTGCGAGGTTCACATTGAAGACGATGTGAAACGACCTGCTCTGCTCTCCTTTCCTCAGGACAGTTTCCCGGCTCGCTTCGGAGGAATCCATTTTGTGAATCAGCCCTGGTACATTCACGCCATGTACACCATCATCAAGCCGTTCCTCAAAGACAAGACCAGGAAGAGGGTGAGCTGGAGTTCCTGCGCCTGTTATTCTGGCACTAACGTCAGACGTTACGAGGTTAACCTTCTCGCTCACTGTCCTCAGATCTTCCTCCACGGCAACAACCTGAACTCGCTCCACCAGCTCATCCATCCCGAGTGTTTGCCGTCCGAGTTTGGTGGGACGCTGCCGCCGTACGATATGGGCATCTGGGCGCGAACGCTGCTGGGACCCGACTACAATGACGAGACCGAGTACACGCTCACCTACGACGCCCTGCACGTCAGGGAGAACTGTGGAGGAGGAGGAGACAAGGACATGATGAAGAGGTGAGGATGAGCGAAGGGGCCGATGCAGGAAGTTAAATATTTGATTTCTTTCTTGAAACATTTACAAAACCTGAACTCACAACAGGAAAACACAAATCTGACCACAATACTAAACAAGGCTGACTCACTACACAACACAAAGAAACACAATCTAAGATGTGACGCGTCACAACATGAAGTAAAACTCACAGAAACTAGAAACTGTTACAGTTCAAAGTAGGTCTGATACATTTATTCTGATATTCTCGTGAAATGTTTCTTAGCTCGGTGTTTTTAAACAGATAAACCTGTAGAAAGGTGCGTGCTCCGCCCCCAAACCCTCGCCATCGATGGGTCACCGGGTCGATCCTGAGAAGTTACGGATGACACGGCCTCATTTTAAATCTAAAAAGCTTCTGCAGCTCACCCAAGGCTTAAACCTGCTGCCATCTTAACGAGCTGCTCCATCCACAGAGTGTAAATACACAGCGCTGTGAAGCTAACTGCCCCCAACACTAATAACTGGGTGCTCCGCTGAATCCGATATAGTGTTTTTTAATCAACAAAACTGTTTTTTAAATATCTTGCTGCATTTTGTATAAGTTCATACTCAAGTTTAAAACAACAACTACACTAAAGCTATTCTGTTATACCTGTATGCAAAAACAAATATTTCATAGTTCAGCAATACTGATCAATCTAATAAACTTAAACCT